CTGCAGAGGCTTGGATCTGTTTCCAGTAGTGCTATGTCCTCTCCATTTTCCCCTTTCCCTCACCCTCGAAAACTTTGAGCGGCCATAGTGAAAATAAATAAAACTAACACTATTGAAATTTTAACACAACATAAACTCAATATGAAAATATTTCATAAAATGGCCCTTTTTTGCATGACGCCCGGACTGGGGCGTCATGCTCTGTGTACTGTACTACAAGTGTCAAAATCATGTTTTTTCACTCACAAAGTTACGGCTAGTAAATCATGATGTGATGGTCAGCTGCTGCAGAGGCTTGGATCTGTTTCTAGTAGTATTGTGTCCTTTCCGTTTTCCCCTGTCTCTCACCCTCAAAACCTTTTAGTGGCCATAGTGAAAACGGATAAAATCGACCCTTTTTAAAATTTTAACACTAAATAAACTCAATCTGAAAATATTTCACATAATGGCCCTGTTTTGCATGACGCCCGGGGCTAGGACACCATGCTCTGAAGTACTGTACTACAAGTGTCAAAATCATGTTTTTTCACTCACAAAGTTACGGCTAGTAAATCATGATGTGATGGTCAGCTTCTGCAGAGGCCTGGATCTGTTTCCAATAGTACTATGTCCTCTTCGTTTTCCCCTTTCCCTCACCCTCGAAAACTTTGAGTGGCCATAGTGAAAATGGATAAAACTGACCTTTTTTGAAACTTTAACACAAAATAAACTCAATCTGAAAATATTTCACAAAATGGCTCTATTTTGCATGACGCCCGAGGCTAGGACACCATACTCGAGAGTATGACGCCTCAGGTTAGGGAGCAATGGTGCAACATGTAGCATGGCGCCCCGGGTTAGGGCGTCATGCCAAATAGCATGGCACCCTACCCGGGGCGTCATATGCTATCTAGCATGACGCCCTAGCCCCGGGCATCGTGCAAAAGGCCACTTTATGAAATGTTTTTATACTAGGGCCATTTTGTGTTGAAGTTTAGAAAAATGGCCAGTCTTGTCCATTTCACGCGGCCATGATACTACTATACTACGTACTTGTTGCTGCATGCTAGCACCACGTCATTTTCAACACGATTAATTCACAAATTCATCTCGACTTGACCGTACGTGACGCGACTTAAAAAGCTGGTAGTACGTACTTGTACTATAATTGATGAATCCCTGTTCTTCTGGTGGGTCAAACAGGTTGGCCAGACTCGAGTCCATGGCTGGATTAATTGGTACGATCGATACCCCACAGCCGCGCCCATTCCTTGCACGGTGCAGTGCTGGGAGGATCATACGTGTGTTGTGTCTTGTGTGTGCGTGTGCACGATCGAGACGTTGCTGCTTGCACAACTCTGTGTCTGCCGCTGCTCTGGCTGCTGCTGCTGACCGCGCCCGCGCGTCCGCGTGTGGGCACAGTTGGGCGTCCTGCGGAGGTGAAGGTACACTCTTTTGTTCTAACCGGGCTCACATCCCTTTTCATTATTAATTTCTTAAAGGAAATATCCGATATACAGAGTTCAACTCAGAAAATGGAAAACATACTGAAAGCAACTGGATTAAAGGAGAGGGGGAAGATCGAGTTGGAGCATTAACAGGAAATCCGTTGTGGATGCTCAAGCTCGAGGTATCCATCAACCTTTTACGGCATCTGCAACGCCGACTTTCAAACCTCCTACATCCATTCGGACCGTGCTGTCCGAACTGCGAAGCCATTCAACGTGCATCTGTATCGGTCCGCGGTGCAGTTGGGACGTACTTTCTCCCGTAAACCGGAGACAGATGTGGGGAGCTTTGCGGGAGTCCAGGCTGCTGCCACACCCGTGTCTGATCGCCCTGGCCCATCCAAACCCCACACCCACCCCTCCCGCTCTGTTCTTCCAATGCACACGCCGCTTACCGCGACGCACTGATACCGGTCTAGAGCACCCAACGGCCGGCATTGCTGGCGCGATGTGGCCGGAGGCAGGGAGGACAGCGCTGACTGACGCAGTCTCTCGGGACCCACCGCTTCAATGCGGACGCAGCTTCCCGAGGAACATACTCCGGCTGCTGCGCCGTATTGAAGCGGCTGACCGGTCATTCGCATGGCCTGGTCGCGGCTTTATAAGCCATAGTTTGACGTCATCCACATCGCAACATATCCTCCTCCTCCTCTCTCCCCGCCCATCTCCCTCCACAACTCCGGCGATGGGCAAGTCCCATACTTCGGCGCCTGCAGGCGGCGGTTCTAGGGCGAGCTCGAGCGGATAGTGGCGACACTGCCCTCGAACTCTGGGGCTGTCGACCTCATCGGTGAACGGCTCCTTGACGAAGAAGGATATCGTCATCTCCTCCGGCAATGAGGACGACCAGCCGCAGAAGGAGCAGTCCGCGTCGGCGGTGGCGGGCCAGGTGTACGCCTCCACCGACGCGAGTACGAGGAGCTGATGGAGCTGATGCTCCGTCGCTTGGTGCTCCACCTCAATAGCAAGGCTCCTTCATCGGGGACACTAATCCCCGTGAAGCCGGAACCGACATCCCATCCGTGCTCTCCGCCATGCAACTGCAGCGTCCAAATCAGACGCCGCCTGAAGGAAGTGCACCTCTAACTGCCACCAATGTGCGTCAAGGAGGAGACGCTCTCTCCGCCGCCCAGGCGCATCAAGGCGAAGCGCCGCTTGCCGCTGCACGTGCCTAATGCGACCGCGAAAGCACACGCTCGCCTTCGCCACTACCTCGGCGGCGGCGGTGGCAGCTCCTCGTCGTCCCAGAGTGCCATAACAACACAGGAGACCACTGACAGGGAGCGGCGCCGGCCGCAACACGGCGCGTCGGTCGGAGTTCGCTGACTCCAACGTCCCGCCACCACACATCGCGACAGACTCAGAGCTGGAGGAGATGAGAAAGCGTTGTCTCCGCCGCCTTGCAGGGAGATGGCCAAGTACGACGAGGAGTGGTCTCGCAGCGAGACCGCCGCCGCCAGTGCCTCCTCCTTCAAGGCCCGCTGCTTTCTCCCCCTGCCCACGTCGCTGGTGGCCGCAACCATACTACGTACGGCACAAGAGAAAGCCGAGAGGATCATCCGTGAGCGTCAGGCTGCTGCCGCGAAGCCGCCACCTTCCCCCGCCTGAAGCCCGACTCCGACGACTCCGACGCTGCATCGGGGGACGATGACACAGGAGGATCCACCTACCAACCCGGCATAGTCTATGAGGTCACCGTCAGGTATAGGGTAGTTTAGTGTTTTATTTTAAGGTTTTTCATTCAGCGGACGACATATCATCCGGTTTCATATACAAATTATCTTATTTCAAATGAAATTCAACATGTTTATATCAAAATTCGCCCGGTTGACATGATTTTTGTCAGTTGGTTTGAGCTGTTCTCAAAATACTAGTCAGTCTCATCGAGTGTCTTCATCCGGTCCCACTGAGTAGTGCATAAATATGTGTAACGTTTAGATTTTTGGTGTTGCCTAGCTTGCACTCGCCTTGATATTTGTTCCTTGTGACATGCCCATAATTTTTAATGTGATTACCTTTTGTCGTTACAAATTAGAACTCAATGTACGACCCTTTTTGTGTTCACGCTTCAGATTGTTGAACATGCATGCATTCATTTTTTTTATTCACCGTGCTGGCATAAGTACTTATATCCTTGTTACTCCCTCCTTCCATCTATATAGGGCCTAATGCATTTTTCGAGGCTAATTTTGACCAAATATTAGAGCAACAATATATGACATGCAACTTATACAAAGCATGTCGTCAAATTCGTATGTGAAAGGAGATTTCAATGATATAATTTTCACATTATGCATGTCATGTACTATTAATCTTGTCAATAGTCAAAGGCCGTCTTGAAAAACTCATTAGGCCCTATATAGATGGAAGGAGGGAGTATATAATTAAGTGAAATTATGATATAGTCAAATTTGTTTTGAACGTTAGGGCTTTGTTTAGTTTTTTTCTAAGGGCCCTAAATTCCTACAGACTGGTCTGATTCAAAACCATTTTGATCTTAAGAACAGGGTGTACCAATTTAAGTCTTTAGTTATCCTGAAAGGTTTGGGAGGACAATTTTAATTTTCCTATATCAATTATGGAGAGAAATAAATGCCAAAATCAAATCTTCACATAAAAATGGTTAAAAATGCATGTATAATTATAAACGAGCTAGTATTTATCAACGCCTAAATTTAAACATCAATACTAGCTAAGTTTAGCTCTTCAACAAACATAGGACGTCAATAAACATAACCATTTGGATAAGCGTTGATGCCAAAAATTAATATCTCATAAAAATAACCATGTCAATATCCACATACTTTAACTATATATATGAATCATGAATGTACTCATACTTTCATCCGTTCGAGTTTGGAAGAATATCTGACAATACATCATCGACACATGACGAACATGGGTAAAGGACTAGTGGGAACCAACAAGGCATTGATATGCTTGTGGTTGGTGATGCTGCTTCTCCTTTCATCTGGTAGGAACACAATTAACCTACACATCTCTAGTTCATACTAATCCGAGTTAACTTAATTACTTGACTCTTATTGTTTGCTAATGGATGCAGAAGAGATGAGATCTGATGGCTGTGAAGGTCATGATAGCCAAACCTGGGATGGCAACATGTGTGTAAAGCACGGCACCTGCAATGTGGTCTGCCAAAGAGAGGGTTATGACAGAGGCCGCTGCTACGTGACTGTATGCAGGTGCTACAAGAACTGCACTGCTCTACCAATTTAGGCATATGATCATTTCGTGGACGCTCGGTCGGTGCTATTGCTATGAGTCTATGCATTACAACATAAGTAAATCAAAAGGCTCCCTATACATGCAATAATAAAGGATTCGTGCTTGATGGTGTAATGTTCACTTGCTCTTTTTTGCCCGCTTTTGCTTGATTATGATTAATACTGCTCATTGCAGCCATCGTCTATTAGTTTTCCATCGTAACGTTAGAAAAGTACTGAACAATATCAACCGCCCGCGAGATCGGTTGAAAAGTGCGGCTGCGAGATCGGTTCGCCTGCCGCGAGATCGACAGTAGAGAACAACCTTTTTCCACGAGATTGAGGGACGTGCGGCTGCAAACACTGCCCTATTTTTTTAGTTGGTGTCTTGGACATCTAAAGCCCAGCAGGCCCAAATAATGGCAGGTCGTCCATTTTGTTACAGGAGCAGCGACCCATCCCGTATAGCGATCTGTGGTTACTTACGAGCTTTTGCAAATCGATCCAACAGTCAAAAATTCTTAAACTCGTTGATCTAATGGTCAGAAGCCTTGAGAGGGCAGAAAAGGTGCTTAGTTATAATGTATCTAAATATGCGGCTAAGACTGGATGGTATCCTCTGACATCTGTGTCCGCGGACTGAACGGATGTGGGAGGAAATTTACCGGTCACTATTGGAGATGCCCTTGACACTGTATATCTCGGAGGTGGAGGTGTTGGGAGCAATGAAGGCGGCAACCGGCAAGCAGGAGATGGGTGGATGGATCGGCTGGGTTCGGTGCACGCAGCAATAGTACGTACTCCAAACCACGTAGCACAAGAGAAGTCGAACAGAGCAGATGCATAGTGTGTGTGTGTGGCGTTGTACTGTTTGACATTTGCACCGGCTAGGTAGCTATGTCTATGCTATACTAGCTCGGTGTGCTGTGCTGGGGCCAAAGGCCTGCATGGATGGATGGACCTAAGCTATAGGTAAGGTAGGTGGTGGGCATGGAGCCATTCTTGCATGGTCCATGCATGAACGCTCATTACTTCATCCATTTATTTCTGTACGTATATGGTGTGGCCCTTCCTTGCTTGCAGAGGGATGGACTGATCGGCGCAAAGCAGGAAACTTCCTTCCTTGCCGATCAACGATCATCGAGGAGGACGGAGGTCGACGGCGACGTGCGCGCGTGCGGCACATTGATGTATGGGCATTTGTTGCGCACAGGCAAGCAAGCTGCAGCGTGTCGGCGTCGGCATCGCTCGTGCGCGTGCGCGTGCGTGTGCATATCCATATCCATATCTATCCGATCCAGAAGTGCGCGCCCATATTATCAATCAAGCAGCAGGCAAGAAAGAATAATGTGCATGTACAGGCGGCGGGCAATGTCTCGCCTCACTCAGTCTTCTCAGATCGAAATTACTTGCCGTTCAAACATATGTATCTAGGAAGTATTTCTAACTTCTAGCATTTCGTTCGGAGGTGATTCTTCTGTCGATGATAGAGGTGCACAAGAAGGTACTACCAGTACACATTTTTTTGCGGGGTACCAGTACACATTTCTGCTGCTTTTCATATTCGTGTTGGGTCGAGAACAAACACGAATGAAGGTGCTACATGTAGTTGGCCGGCCAATCAATCAAATCAGAGTTGCACAAGCGCTCTCTCCACGGTCCCACCTCTACTTTTGCTGTGTACCCATCGATGTGCACATGCGTACGTGTTGTGGCAAGTTTCACGATGAGATCGAGTGGGTAACAATTGGCCAGTCACTTCTAATGTAAAGATGTATCTCCAACAATGCTATGGATCATATGTCATCTAGCTTCACAAGAGTGCCCCCTTTCGTGATGATAGGATGATAATATATAGTGCATGCAGTTCGAGATCTGTCTAAGAACGCTTCCATTGTCAAAAGGGCAGCTGTGAACTTTCTTGAAATGAGGAAAAGTTGGCCTTGTTGTCAAATTTAAGCCATGGCACCGTTAGGTCTTTGAACACAAATGCATGCTCGAGGATCAGGTGCCTAGAGCACTAGTAGATCTGATAGCACGTAGCAGAATATTAAAACATAAGCAGAACAGAAAAAATGACAATGGATATCCCACTCGCCACATAGTGCCAGCAAAAAGGACCAAAAAACAAAGTTGTTCAAAGATCCAATGACAGGGGAAAAAGAACAGATCCTCTAGTGTTCACAAAAGTAACGTGCTGATAGACGCAAATTTGTCACTGGACTTACCCGTGAAGTGGATGAAAGCACAGGTGACATATGTCGCGATCTTATTGTGCCACATCTAACCATCGTATGTGTGTAGATCCTCTAATTTTTTGGTAGTATGTATCATATTTTTTGCATACTTTATTTTGCGTATAAATATGTACGTATTTCACAAATACAATAAACTATGGACTCACTTGCAATTTTTCCATATAACTCACTTTGTAGTATCTTAAATATAATTTGTGAATATAATAAAACTAATAAGGTAGAGTATATACTACTACATGATAGTATATGAGAAATGGGTGTAACTACATCTGATAGTATGATGCATTTTCTATATGAGAAATGCATGTGAAGGAGCGTACTCCCATCGGCATCAAGGTTGGGGCGCCATTCCTATCGAAATGGTACAGGTATTTCATCCATAAATACCAAATATATTGCGAATAAAGCAACCCATTAAGGAGTATCCATCGACGCATTGATTTTAAAAGGTGGCAATTAAGCTTTCAATCACCAGCTCGTCGGTCTGGTAGTAATCTCCATGCGTAGGACCAAGGCAAGGTGTACGAATGGCAGTCCATATTAAGTTGTAGTGCTCCTATATTTCACTGACATTCCCCCATGTAAAATGTAGTGCATAATAGTTTGTACTAGAAGGACAAGCGTTTTACGGCGCCGTTTTTCATTTGTGGAATTTATTCAATTTTTCTCTGAAAAGTTGTTATGACAATTCATTTTTCTCGCATACCGTACGGGCAGTCCAGCAAATACAGCACCTCATGGGTGGTATTTGAAGGTTCTGTTGTTTGCTTTTTTTTCTTTATTTACTTTCTTTTCTTTTTGGTTTGATTGGTTTTCTTTCATTTTGGCCTTTAAAATTTCTTTTCTTGTTTAATTTTATATTTGTATTCTTTTTACATTTTTAATTCGTCAATATTTTATATGAGTATTTTTTAAATTTGGGAACACACTTTAAATTCATGAACATTATTTTCGAATTTATGTACATTTTCAATTTCGTGAATGTTTTTTCATATTCATAAGCATTTTTAATCCACGATTTTTTAAAGTTTCTTAAAATTAATGAATATTTGAATAATATCTGAAATATTCAATACAGAACAGTTTCATTAATATCTGGAAATCATATTATTTTTTAAAACAGTATTCAATAAATAATGAAAAAATATCTGAAAAATATTGATATTTTAAAAATTACTACTCTGAAATATCTGAAATCTAAAATAATGTGAAAATGATGAATAAAATTTGCTCATTAATTTAAAATATCTGGAATATAAAAAATATTTTGTAATTTTAAAATAACAAATTTGGTCCGACAAAACATAGGTTTACTTAACAAACGCCGATATCTCAAATATCAAACAAATACAATGGAGGTGGACGTGCGCGGACGGGGGAGCTGGTTTCGGGAAAATGGCGATGGGCCAGGACGTGCAACACTATCACGAGAGAGAGGCGGAGAGGATGAAAGATTTTAGTTTTCTACAACAGAGGAGGGGAAAGGTTGTTGAAGAAGAAGAGTATGACATGTAGGCCCCTATGCTCAGTGAGAGAAACGAGGTTTTTCGGTCGGGATTGTCTTGCCAAATAGGTATTGGGTCGGTTTAAGCTGGGATCGGTGAGTAGAAGGTATGAACTTCAGGGATTTCAACGTGAGGATTTGTTTGTGTCGCACTCTATAACCTCAGAGTTCAAAACAGTGGTGTTCCGTTTACTGGCAGTAGTACAAGCGAGCAGTCACTGTGTGGCCTGCAGGCTACTGTTGGGTCTGCTGTTGTGCCTGCTGCCGCCCCTGCGTGCGCGTGCGTGCGCGTATCCATATCCATATCCATATCTATTCGATCCAGCCGTGCGCGCCCATATCATCCATCAAGCAGCAGGAAAGAAAGAATTATGTCACATGCGGAGGCAGTGGAGAATGCCTCGCCTCACTCCGTCTTCTCAGTACTTGTCGTTTAGACGGATGTATATATAACGTATTTCTAACTTCTAGTACCATTCATTCGGACGTGATTCTTCTGTTGATGATAGAGGTGCACAAGAAGGTACTTACTACGTACACATTTCTGCTGCCTTTCATATTCGTGTTGGATGGAGGACATGAATGAAGGTACTACATATTCGTGTTGGCTGGCCAATCAATCAAATCAGAGTTGCACGAGTGCCTCTCGCTTGTCCTCTTGTCGTGTCTCTCTCTCCACGGTCCCACCTCTACTTTTGCTGTGTACCCATGGATGTGCACATGCGTATGTGTTGTGGCTAGTTTCACGATGAGATCGAGTGTGGGTAACAATAGGACAGTCACTCCTAATGTAAAGATGATCTCCAACAATGATATGGAGCATATGTCATCTGGCTTCAGAAGAGTGCTCCCTTTTCAGATGATAGGATGATAATATTTAGTGCATGTCGTAAGAGATCTTGTCTATGAACGCTTCCATTGTCGAAAAGGCAGCCGTGAATTTTCTTGAAATGAGGAAACATTGGCCTTATTGTCAAATTTCGGTAATGCTACACGTACGGGCAATTACAGACAAAGATTAATTACAGGCTGAGTTGGGAAAATGTGATTG